TTGATTACAAGTCTATGATTTAATTTGCAATTTTAGATATGAGAATGTTATTATAGTTATGGAGCTTTAAAAGATCATCCTTTTAAAGAGATACTGACAATGGGCTGGAGAGATGGCTCAGTGGTTAAGAGTACTTGCTGCTCTTGCAGAGGACCTGGGATCTGTTGCTATCACCCACATGGCAGCTTATAATCATCTGTAGTTCTAGTTCCAGGCCCCCTTCTGGCCTTCTTGGGCACCAGGCACAGGCGTAGTGCACTTCCTACACACAGGCAAATGCTCATACAAATAAAATATCAAAGCAAACTTCAAAAAAAGAGACACTGACAAACATTTATCCTGAAATTGTGTAGTTTCTTATTTTGTTTCAAGATAATTGCTAGGCTAGATGTGGAAAAATTCCTGTAATCCCAGCACTCAGGACTGCAAGAGAGAAGAATCATGGATTTAAGGCCTTTATTTTTTGGTTTTGGAGACAGGATATTTGTAGTATAGCTTGTCCTCGAACTCATTATGTGGCTAAGGCTCTCCATGAATTTCTGATTCTCTTGTCTCTACCTCCCAATTGGTTTGTACCACTGACTGGCTCTTAAAAAGTTGTGTTTGTTTCCTGTACTAGGCTTTTAACCTGGGGCCCCACATAGGCTAGGCAAGCTCAGTTACCCTCAGCCATACTGTACTCTTACAATTTTTAAATAATGAATCTTTGGGGGGCATGAAACAGTAAAACTATTCATATAAACCTTTTCTTTGTTAAAAAAGTGTTTTGCTTAAGACCATGGACCATGGCGGCCAATTCTCTAGGTATAATTCTCAGCATTATGATAGTTAATAGTTGTATGAACTTGTACAGCTTGGTTAGCTTCTCTGTCTCTTAGTTTTTCACTCCCACAAAATGTGAATTAATATAATAAAAGAATATGTGTGTGTGTGTGTGTGTGTGTATGTATGTATTTCTATGTGTGTTTTGGGTGATGTATGTGCATGTAGAGGCCAGAGATCAACCTTGAGTGTTGTTCATCAGGAAGCATCCACTGTGTTTTTTGAGACAGAGTCTCTCACTGATCTGGTGCTAGCCAGTTAGGCTCAACTGACTGGCCAGTAAGCCCCAGGGATCAGTCTGTCTCCACCTTCACAGTGTTGTCTTGACAAGGGTGGGTTCTGAGAATTGAACTCAGGTCCACGTGCTTGTACAGCGTGTATTTCACTTAGAGAGCTATTTCTTTTCTCAAAAATCATACCTAATATATGTGTATTGTGATATCTTGGATGCAAACCATTAAACCAAATTCCTGACATTACTGTTATGATTTAAAGTCCACTGGAGGTTTTTTTATTTTGGGAAAACATAAACCTGGGCCTTCTCATTGGATATTTTCTGGGGCAAAAGGCTTATCTATATTTTGAAAAGTCTCCCTTGCTATGATTGATACTGCCGTTGCTTGAAAGATTTCTGTGAGCTATCAGCAACTCCCTTTTTTGTAGGTAATAGAAATTGAAGATGCTTCGCCTACCAAGTGTCCAATAACAACAAAATTGGTTTTAGATGAAGATGAAGAAACCAAAGAACCTTTAGTTCAGGTTCACAGAAACATGGTTATAAAATTGAAACCACATCAAGTAGACGGTAAGAAGCTATTAATTCAATCACTTTTAGTTAAATTTTACCTGTATTCTATGTCCAATATTCTGCTAATCACTGAAGATACATTTGGCGAGCAAAAATAATATGATCCCCACCCTTACAGAGCTCATAAGGAAGTGAGGAAGACCATAGTTTGGGTAGCTGCAAATGTAGTGTTTTTAATGGGCAAGAAATGTTATTTATAAATGGGCATGTATAGTAAGTGGATTTCTGGTATGTAGTAGTTGGCTCTAGGGGTTAGGTAGAGGTACACTTAACTAAAAGCTTTCTTTGGGAAATGTTATTCAGCATTTCCCAGTATGTTTTTAAGTGATATTTCTACATTAGTATTAGGAAGCTACGCAACTATCCCTACTCTCTGCTGTGTTATACTAGAATTAGTTTTGAATGTAAGTCCCTTTTATTTCTTAGTTTCTACTGTGGGAGAAATAATGAATTATCTCTCATGATTTTTTTTTTCTAACTGGCTCAGTAAACCTGAAAGTGTATTTGATAGGAAACTATTCCTCTTTAGCTGAACTTTCTATTTTAAAATATTCTTATGTATCTTTGGGCCATCTCAAGGTGTAGAGAAATCAGCTGTGATAGCTTAGGTAATAGCAACAGAAGTCACCCTTTTCTCTGCTTGTGTTTTATTTCTAATTTACCTTAGCAGAAAAAACAAATCCAATTGTCTTTAGCTTTTTTTTAAATGCTGTTTCTTAGACATTTTGGTTGTTTCTATTGTGTTGATATGAGAAGAGAGTTTTTTTTTTTTTTTTTGGTTTTGTTTTTTGAGGCAGGGTCTCCCTGTAGTCCAGCTGACCTGGATCTCATTATGTAGTTCAGGCTGGCCTCGATCTCATAGATTGTATCTCCTGAGGATCCCTACTACGCCTGGCTTATATGGGAAGAGTATTAACTTGTTCTTTTAAATTTAAAATAATAAGACCAATTTTTAGGTGTTCAGTTTATGTGGGATTGCTGCTGTGAGTCCGTGAAAAAAACAAAGAAATCTCCAGGTTCAGGATGTATTCTTGCCCACTGCATGGGCCTTGGTAAGACTTTGCAGGTAAGAACTAAAGAAAAAAACCTATTTTGGTGTGTGTTTGTGTGTGTGTGTGTGTGTGTGTGTGTGTGTGTGTGTGTGTATTGGTTTTAGGCAAAGCAGTAAAGAAAAATGACAAGATTCCTTCTCGAGAATTTTATATTCTAGTGAAGAATGAAATGTACTTTCAGAAAATATGTTAAGAGGGGAAGATTGAGAGTTAGGACAGCTATCTCTAAAGAAGTGATGCTTGTGTAGAGGTCCTAATGGAGTGAGGTGGTGGGGTTGTATATGTGACTACTGACAACTATAAACTTTTCCAACGTTTTTTTTGAGACAGTCTCACTATGTAGCTCCAGCTGGCCTGGAACTCACTGTATAGAACCAACTGGCCTCAAATGCACAGAGATTCACCTATCTCTGCGTTCCCAGTGGTGGGATTAAATCCATGTGCCACCACACCCAGACTCTTTTCCAACTTTTAATAATCTGTGATAGTAATAAGAATGTGAAATCTTTCATAATGAAAACTACATCATTTTAGGGCTGGGTTCATAGCTTGGTGATAGAGCAGCTACCTAACATACATAAAGCCCTGGGTTTAGTTTCTGGCAGTGCTGAGAAAATCACTCCATTTCTGAATAGCAGGAGATGTAGCAGAGATGGGACCACAGTGAGTATATGCAGTTTTAATTATAAGATAATTATTGTAGATTCAGTGAGTTAGAACATGTTCCAGTTGCCTTCTGTAAGTGGACAATGGTATTTTTCTTACTTTTTTTGTGGGGTGGCTTTCCATGAAAATCAGGAAATGTTACTTTGCCCTGACACCACCTACTATTCATATTATTTATATTGATCATAGAGATAACAACTTTGAAATTTGGAAGTGCTTTATATATGATTTTGTAAAACTTTGTCATGTTACTATTATATTTCTTTACCTGTATTTGATATGGGCTGGAAATTATTGCCTCTTGGCTGGTTGGTTGGCTTATAAAGCAAAACAATGTTAAGTTGTGACTGCTTGATTTTTCTAATTTCTTGTGGATATATAAATAAAATGATAACTAATTTTCTTGTAGGTGGTAAGTTTTCTTCACACAGTTCTTTTGTGTGACAAATTGGATTTCAGCACAGCGTTAGTAGTTTGTCCGCTTAATACTGCTTTGAATTGGATGAATGAATTTGAGAAGTGGCAAGAGGGATTAAACGATGATGAAAAGCTTGAGGTATCATTTTAAAACTTTTTTATTAAAATAATTGCTTGAAATTCATATAGTGAAAGAAGTTTCTTAATTCCTAGTGCATATTTAAGTGGAAATACTTAGAACTCTGATTTAAAAAATAAAATTTTATCAAGTTTTTGTGTATTTCATACAACAGTTCTTAATCAAATTTAGGTCCCCTCCCCCATCCATGCTCTCCCCTGCCCCCCACTGCCCACCAGACCTTATGTATTCCACCATACATGTTAAATCCTATCCAGTCAAGCATTTGTACCCGGATGTCCTTTGGTGCAAATTCATCCATGGAATCTAGTCAGCCTATCTAGAGAGCATAAGTAAGACCCACTCTCTCTCACCCAGTAGTAATCAGTCTCCCATAGTTCCCAGACTAGGGCTAACCTGCCACTAATTTCTCTTGCTGCATTCTGTGTTCTTGTCTGAGTTGGCATGGGTCCTGTGCTCGATGCCGCCATTGCCACAAGTTCACACATGCAAGCATCCAGTGTCCTGAAAAGCTGCTTCCCTATGTTCATGAACCAGCCCTGGCTCTTATAATCTTTCTGCACCCTCTTCAGCAATAATCCCCGATCCATGAGTAGGTGAAGTTTAATATAGGAGTCCTATCCAGGGACATACACTCTGCAGTTTCTTATTCTTTAAAACTTGGCCAGTTGTGGCCTTCTGTGTATATCACACTCTGTTGTATAAGGAAGTTCCACTGGTGAGAGTTGAGGTATGCACTAGTTTCTCTCTAACCCCCATTCTGCTGTGTTCCATGAGGTTCAGTTATACATATGTCACCTAGGACCGTGCATTTCTCAGACGTATATTCTCTGTGTCTGAGCAGTTGTGGAATTATGCAGTATCCTCCAAAACGAACCTTCTTTAATGAGTGGTGTACTTGTCTGTGAATAAAAGACTCTTCGATTTTTAGAGCTCTTTTTTAATTTTTAATGGTCTTTTGAGACAGGGTTTCCCTGTTGCCCCAGCTGACCTGGATCTCACTATGTAGTAGACCAGGTTGACCTTGAACTCAGAGATCCGCCTGCCTCTGCCCGAGTGCTGGGATTAAAGGCATGGGCTACCACGCCTGGCTTAAGACTCTATGATTTTTTAAAAAAAATATTTTATTTATTTTTATTTTATGTGTACGAGTGTGTTGCCTGCATGTATGTGAGCGCACCCATGTCATGCAATGTTACGGAGTTCAGAAGAGGGCTTCGGATTCCCCTGGAACTGGAGTTAAGGACAGTTCGTAGCCGCCATGTGGGTGCTGGAAATTGAACCCGGGTCATCTGCAAGAGCAGTCAGTGCTCTTAACCACTGAGCCATCTCTCCAGCCCCAAGGCTCTTTGATTTTTAATAGCTACTTTTAAACATCTTTATTTTAACAGGTCTCTGAATTAGCAACTGTGAAACGTCCTCAGGAGAGAAGCTACATGCTACAGAGGTGGCAAGAAGATGGTGGAGTTATGATCATAGGGTATGAGATGTACAGAAATCTTGCTCAAGGAAGGAATGTGAAGAGTCGGAAACTTAAAGAAATATTTAACAAAGCTTTAGTCGATCCAGGTAATGCACCACTAAGCACTGTCATGCCGTATACTCTGTCATCCCTGTTACTGTCCTCTTTGTTGTCGACAGCCCGAGACATTCTCCAGTGCTTGTCGGTCTGTTGAATCTAGTCCAGCCTATCAAGAGAGACTTGTTTTAGGAGGGTCAGCTGTTCCTCATCTAGCAGCAATCAGTTGTCAATATTCCTTTAGATAAGATTGGGGTCTGCTGTTCATTTTCCCAGTTTTTTGCTGGGTTATTGTCTGGGAGTCTCTTGCACCACCCTGGCCAATAACTCAAAGGAAGGTATCACTTGTCTGGCATTGTTTCTTGTTATGTAGCCTTTAACTATACATATGGACTCTTAAAAATAATATTGACCCCATTAATCTTTGGTTATACTTTCCTTTTGGGTGTTTAAGACCCTACAGTTGGTCCAGATAAACCAATTTATTTTTACTCTTAACGTCATTTGAGGATCTGTTCCTCAGGGGTCACATGGGCTTGGGAGGAGCCCCTGGCTCCTTTCTTTTTTGAGTTCAGTCTATGTGAAGATAAGTCAAAGGTCCTGCTCGACCATGGCTGGCTTCTCTTGGAAGCATGGAGGAAATGTTTCCTCTGTGTTGACCCTCCTCTTTGTAGACTGGACACTGGTTCAGGTCCATCTGGTGGGGTCTGCATAGCCTCCTTGCTCAAGGGGACAGGTGACTCACCACAGTTACAGGACATTTTGAGAGGTGCTCATTGTCCCCTGGAACTTAGTCAACCTAGGAGGGCAAGGAGCAAAAACTGTCCTTTACGTCTCCCTGAACAGATTAGTATAGGCCTCAAAGTATGCCTGTTAAACATCCAAGAAGGTTAGTTCCACCAGTTTGGTACTTTAAATTACCATATGCCATGTAGATAGAACTTGGGCAAATACCAAACGCTCTCAGCTAAACCTTGCCTAGGCATATATTACATTCTTTGGCCTGGTTGTATGTATAATTTGTCAGTAGGTTGTTGGCCTAATATGGTTCCCTCTGGTTTTATAAAACTAGCTAGGCATTGTTTTATCTCTCACATTATCTAACCCTTCCACCATGGTTTCCCCATTTAAGGTGCCCCCATTTTTCCCATTTCTCCCTTAATAATACCCTTCTCCTATGATCCCATCACTCTTGAGCGCCTTCTTTCCCTTTATCCCCTAGGTTCCCTGTATAACCTTCCCTCCCCTTAAAGTAACCCCATTATTGTCCATATCTCCCTTGTTAACACCTGTTTTCTGCTGTTCTCTTTCAGATTCTTTCTTTTCCTTTACTTCCCTGGTTCCTCTTCATTATCCTGGTTCCTGTAGTTAGGTCTGGATAAGTGCTCACTTATCAGGGTTTGGTTCTACAATCCACATATGAAGGAGAACATATGTCAATTTTTTTTCTGAGTCTGTGTTACTTCACTTAGTATAACAGTTTCTAGTTCCATCCATTTACCTGCAAATTTCATAATTTCATCTTTCTTTACTGCTGAGTAAAACTCCATCATATAAATG